CCACTCATTACGTTCATGCAGAACACTAATGGTCAATAATTTGGATGGTTGATTGTGGTTGTAGAATGGGAGGAAAGAATTTCGGAATTTGTCATAGTTGCAGATCGAAGGGACACTTCTTTGATGAATGCCGAAGTAAGAGTCGTTGCCCCGTTTGCAAGAGTGGATTCCAGAAGTGCTTCGAGGTGGAGAGAGAGACCGATAACAAAGGAAAACTATGCAAATGATGTAGTCAGAAATGTGGTTTTTGGGAGTGGGTTGGAGAAGGAGAATCAAGTGCTATTGATAGCAAGGCGAATCTTGCATCAGAAGAATCAGTGTCAGATTTGTCGCGCATGTTTCAATATCAAATTCATCTCCCCGACGAAGAAGAGGTCCAGATTTCGATGAACATGAACATGACAATTCGCAAGGGCAAAGCAACCGTGGAGAAGCATGACAAATGAAAGTGGCAGGCTACATTAGTAGCCCCATTTTTGAATAAACGTTGATGTTATATATGCTTGCATTTCTTGTTCAGACTTCATGTTATTTAGAAATGTTAATGACGTAGTTGTTCTTAATGATGTATTTTTTAACTATTTGTTTCACTTAGGGTCCATTTGATACGCCATATTTTCCATGGAAAATGGAAAATTCCCCACCATTTTCGAACTTTCGGCCTATTTGATAGGCAACTTTTTCCAGGCATTTAGTTTTCTTACTTTCCCTCACGTGACCCCTAATTCCACGAAAATCAGGAATTCCAATTCTCATGGTTGAGCTAGTTTTAGTTTTCCAGGGAATTCAAAGTGAAAGAAACCCTTAAACACGTCAAACCCAAAACATTTCTCTATCTAGATAGTACATTTGTAATTCCTTTATTTTGTAATGTCATTAGTACATTTTAATATCTAGAGAGTACGAATATCGTGTTGATTTTGGGGTGACACTCAAATTCGACATAAATATACAAAATGTTTTGAAGTGGTACTGTGTATGCGGTCCATTCATCACCATGAGAAATATCAAACGACATTTGAATATTGTACCAAACGGACACATTCAATGAGTAGACATCAAGTAATGCAATTGAAGTATGTTACCGCTTCAAATTGTGCATGTGGTCGAATTTACTCAATTGAGATCTTTATAATTATTTACAAATTAACTTTTTCACTACAATTTGGTAAAAACTTTTTGCTTCATTTTGATGCATATTTTCAGTACAACATCACGTGAATATATTCCCATATCCATCCAAACCATTTGTAAGGACTTCAGTGTGTGTCACGGAGACAATGTCTCCGTGACACACACACACGGAAAAACTCTCTCCTGTGTCACAGAGACACTTACACACGATTTTTTTCCATTTTTTCTGTTTTATTGTTGTTCTATGATGTGGTTTGGTAAACAAAAATAAAAAACATAATCTACGATCAATTGTATACTTTTTTAAGTTCATCTTTTATATTGGGTGTGTCCCTTGAATTGAAGAACACATCTGTTGGAAGTAACTGTCAAAACGAACAGATGTACCTATTCAAAGACTTTTGAAAATAAAATTCTCATTTCTGGACGCAGGTCGATCCTCGTTGCGCAGCGGCAAACACTAGTCGGAACGACAAATCATTCGCAAAACAAAAAAATAAATACACTTTCCATAGAAAATGAAGCCAATCAAACACCAAAAGATGAAAAATTTCAACAAAAAATCATCAATGCCACCTTCCATATTATTTCCCGCGTCCAGAAATGAAGCAAAAATTGTATCGTCATTATTATGCATAAAGATTGAACATTCTAAGTAAATTGTAAAATAAATATAGTTTATTGGTAAAATTTCAAAGATCTAAGGTTCTCATTGCTATCAACATAATGAATAAGCTAAAAAGAATTAAAGTAAAAACCATGATTTTAACTTCCAGGTTACAAGCTTCTCGTTACCATTGGAGTTTCACAACCTAAAGAACTAAAGTAAAAACCATGAAATCCAAATTGTTCGAACAGCATTATTGTAATAATAATGACCAATGTAGGGCACTTCATGGTTTTTCATCCCCCATTACAGAGTTTTCCTTTTCTTTAACATTGGACGAAATGCCATTTTACACTTGCAGGGCAATTCATGGTTTATCATCCCCATTACAAATTTTTCGTTTATTTTAATGTTGCAGCTTTTGTTAAATATCTCCATCTCGACTGTCATTCAATTTTTTTTAAGCAATGGCATTTTTCATGCTTTGCAAACAACAAATTAAATATGTCGAATTGGAAAATTTTGAAGATGACATTTAACAGTGGATCACCTGGGTTCGATAGTGTCGACGAAGACATGCTGTTCGAAAGTGCTACCGGATTCAGTTCGGAGGTGCTACCGGATTCGATGAACTGGCCGGCAGGAATGAAGGCCCAAGAGAGAGGGGAATGAAGGAAAATGAGGAGGGAAAATACTAACTTCCAATTTGGAGGAGGAAAGATTATACCAGTGATCTGCCAAATTTGTCCCATTTTTCAAACAATTTCTACTGTCATTTGATGTGAACATTATTAATTTTTTATTACCTGAACAGCATTATTGTTCTTCCATTACCAGTCCCGAATTGATTGATTGGAGATATAAACCAAAATTCGAAACCCAGATATTCAAATCACGAAGCCCATTAATTTTCGTGGACTCTCCATCAGCACTAATTACACTGGTATGTATTCTTTGAATCCCATTGACGAAATGGTCTGTAATTCACAATTCTATGCAGTAACGCAATTTTGATTACTCTAATTTCAGATTTTATGTGGTGATTTGTTTAACTGAAAAAGGGAGATGAAGTTTTCGCAAAATTAGAAAAAAAAAGCTCGATTATCTTATGCCCAAAATTGCTCCTGAATATTTGTCAATATTTATGCTTATTAATCTAGCGATTACGAATCAAAATCCTTTTTATTGGGTAGCATTAAATTTTTTATATGATTATAGTTATGGGGGTAATCAAAATCTAACTGTTTGATGGAGCATAAGTTTATCCAAAATTGGGTTCTTGACTGCATTACAGTATTTATGAATTCTGATTAGAAGCTGCTAAGTAAAGGACAAGTTTGTTAAAGGTTATAGCCTGAAATAATCAGCCTACAAAGTTGCATATATATGAGGTCATCTCGTTCAGCTCATCCCAAGTCGTCAATTGTACTCTAGTATGGGGATGGCTAATCACTCATTATCCCGTGTGTGAGTTAAAGAATATGTTATTCAAAGCCAATGGTAGGAAATTACAAAAATTTCCCCCTTTTTTTAAGTCTGTCGAAAACATAGATAGAAACCACTAGGAACTCCTTGAGCTAACACGTTCATGCATTATGACCTACTGTGCATAGAAGCTATCCCTTCTTGGCTATGAATACCACTTTGGCTACCATGCTTCAGGTAGGCAAGCACTCATAATCAAGTTTAAACTCTGTCAGTTTGATTTTTACTATGAATCCAAGCATTGACTAAGGCAACAGAGTGGTGCTTGGCCATCACCTCTTTTCCTGTGGAAGGCTGAGCAGACTTGAATATGCATTCTCCTGCAGAACTAAACTTGATTCCAACTCCCTGTTCTCATGTAAGTATCAACAATTTCTGATGTCTACATAAGGTGCAGGATGTTTAAAGTAGTGGTCTTTGTGCTCAAATGAAAATAAACAGAAAAAATAGAAAGCTCAAATACACTCAGAAGCTGAGTTTATTGAAAAGGAAGCTTTAGATTTTATTTACATAATCATTAAACTTAACACTATTGTCATATTCCAGAAAAAATGCTAATTTTGATTTCTTCTGGATGACAACTACTGAAATATGTTCTTTTCAACTATGTTATGCCGTGGTCAGCTGCAATATAATTACTTTTGTTTCTTGAAAATATGCAACTTTTGGAATATTAGGATTCAGAAACAAAGATGCTGGTCACAATGAAAACAATTGGAACGTTCTGTACTCTACAGAAGAGAGAAGGCTCTATGATTAATTTTGTGACTTAGAAGATGAGGAATTTTTTAAAACAGCCATCTCAGCATGGTCAAAGCGCAAATGATCATCTTTCAAATTTGCAGTTTAAAAGGACTACTATATAGATCACAAGATTAATTTAACCTTGTTAAAAAATGGCCACCGTCAAAGTAGAGAATCAACTGTTCAACCTCTCTAGAACTCAAATAAATTATGCTCCTTAGTTGGCAAGTTGATCGAGTTTGGAAAGTAGGGCAAAATTCAAATCGGTCGCTCTCCTTTATTGAATTTTTTAGCAGATCAGTGGATATCCTCTTCATTGTCTAGCACACGAAAAAGGAGGAAAAGAAATTTCAACTTTTTGATTCTTTTCCAGGATGTCTCCTGTTGTGAACTACTCTCATATATCTGATTGATGGGAATGGTCATATATCCTTCAAACTCAAATCGGCCAACTGTTTTCGGCAATCCTATTCATTCTTTTTGTGTGTGTGTGTTAAAAGCAACAGCGTGTTCCCTTAAATGAAAAGCCTTTATTCTTCTTCTTGGAGAGTTGATACCAAACTTTCTGCAGTCTACGGTCGAGTTTATTTTCTTTACAACTTAAAAGAACATTAACATATGGTTTTTTTACTGTTCATTTATTATAGAATGTAACAAGGCACGCATATGGTTACCAATGGATAGAATCCTATCTAAGCTCCTCATCTGGCTTTGTTACTCATTAGCCTTTTTCATTCATCTTCATGCATTGAGTTCTCACTGCAAAATCTGACCACAAAACATTTATTTCAGTTGTCTCCTGTGCGAATTGAGCAAGTTTAGCATGGCAGATTTGCCACGTTATTTGATAGCTTGCTTGCAAACTGGGAAACTGGCTATGCTAGCAATTCTGGTTTCAGGGGGAATTGTGTTGCAGATACTGGTCAGTTTTGCTCTGTTTAGTGAATTTCCTTCACTTCATTTAGTTGCAACTGTATACTGTTATCCTGTTAAAGTCATTTTTCTGATTAGTTCTTTTATGATTTTGCAGGCATGTGCTTTGTACAACAATTGGTGGCCAATGTTAACAGGTAGTTTATATGCAGATTTCTTTGGCTTTTCCATTGTTTCAAGCAGAAAATATGGTTCAATTGTTAAAAAATATTCCTAAATTCATCTGAAAGCATTCAAGCACTACACTGAATATTAAATTATGGACATTTCACCAATAAGCCTATTGCAAACTTAACCAGTTTCACCAAAAATGTAATCTAGGTTAGCAAGAAAATGTGTAAATATAAGCGACAATACATAAAACATTGGCAAAATAGTGTTATGTTTCATTAATTCAATATTTATTGGGCTTTTAAAAGCAGAGCTTCAACCTTTAAATGATTTGAAATTTGCATGACAACGCTCTGGTTTTTTCTGAAACCACTTTATATCAAAATGATTATATGTGCATTTACTTTGAACATACTTTTGAAGAATGTACTCTGGTTTGAAGGTCAAATGCAACAATATGCATTTTCTCTGATACATTAATTTGCGGATCTCAATGAGGAGGTCTAAACGGATCGAAATGGTGCTCCAAGTTTCGGCCGAGAAATGGTGAAAATATTGGGATTTGTGTTTTGACATGTTACTTTTTTCATTTAAGATCGTGTAACTACATGTAAAACATGTGACGCAGCGCGAAACAAGGAATTCAAGCCAAAACCTTAAGAACAAGAAATTTGGAACCCACCAAATAATAAAGAAAATAAATTTACTAATTTTATTAATGAAAAAAAAAAGCCCTTATTTATAAGAGTTTATATGGAAACGTAGTTTAGAATAACTAAAAGTAATGAAAAAGAAGTTTAAACAAACTAAAATTGCAAAAAAACCAAAATAGACGAATTGCAAAAGTAGCTCCAAAATTTTAAAAATCAGTTTTCAAGGCCTAAACGTACTTGAATGGCCGAAATTCGTCGTACATCATAGCATAGCGGTGAGTATTGTTCCTCTCGTCGTTCTTCTTCCAAAATAGTCTTATGGGCCTGATCTGGAATTAAGATGATGTTTTATTTCTACTAGTGTTTCTTTCCCTAATATGACCAATATGTCCTACATCAACATGAAATAATTACCAAAACTCGATTTATTCCATAACCTGTATATCTGTAACATCATGTTGAAAAGACCATAAGAGTAAAATATTAAATTGCAACAAACAAAAATTTAAATCCTAACTATAAGTAACATACTAATAAATGAACTTTTAAAGCTTCGTAATCTGATGTCTGGGCTCTGATGGCAATTATCAACATCCTGACTCAAGTGATTATGCAAATGTAGAAATTAGCTAAGTATAGATTAGCCTATAAATACACTCAGTATGAATCGTGCCAATAATTTTCATAATTTAATAATCCAACACATCTGAAGTGAAATGTTGATGAAGAAACTGACCATTTCAATCTTAGATAGGGCACCCCGCCTAAGTTTCAATGTAGATCTATGTACCAAGTGGTTTTAGCCATCATAATCATCTCAATCTCTGAAGAATATATCAAAATGATTATATATGCATTTGTACATATTTTTAATAATTAAGTTGGTTGGCAAAAATAGTACTCTGGTTTCTGATAATCATATTCTTGCATTGTTCCTCTGCAGTATTAATGTATGTTCTTCTACCTATGCCTCTGATTTTCTTTGCTGGGTAGCAAGTAGGTAAAGCTTTCTCCTTCAAAACTGATCGTTTTATTTTTTCTAGAATCATAAAAGTTATGGCATCATTCTCAGTTTAATGAAAATTGTCTATATGACTATATATATATGTATTTCGACCTCATACTTGCGTTTTTTACAATCACACCAAGCAACAGTTGGGTTGATGCGACAAAGTTCTTGACTGGAGCTTCAGCTGTTGGCAGTATTGCTATACCAATTATTTTAAAGCATGCTGGCGTAATTGGTTGGGGAGCCATGGCAATGGAACTCTCATCGTTTTTCATACTTGTCATGGCCATTTTGTGTTACCTTGGAACAAGCAATGACGATGGATACAGTACATTTTGAAGTACAAAACCTTTATTTGGGATAAGGAGGTTTCTTTTGCCAGCGAGTGTTGTTTGCTTGAGCATGTGCTCCTGTGATTGTGATTTGTATATGCATGTGTTTACATTCATAGATTGTTCGTTATCAAAAGATGTTGAAGTGGTTATCCACTAGATAACAGCGATGAATGTACTTTGATTGGATACTCGAAATTTGTTTATAAAATGAAGCCTTTTGACATTACTTATAGAAACTGTTATATCCTAATATTCATTATTCTGTTTTATGGTTTTTCTACTGAAATAGAGAGGTGTTACTGATTTCTAAGTTTTTATGGATTTGGTAAGAAAGGATTTAGGACGGATCAGCTGCCGGTCTCCGGTGAAATACCAAGTTTGTGGATACAAGGGTAGGTAGATGTAGGGCAACTTAAAATGAGACACCAAAATACCAAAATGCACCAAATTTTAATACAAAAATGTCTCCAATGTAATACCAAATTTTGCACAATTTTGCACCAAATAGTGCAAAGTCAATTTTACCTTTTGTTTTCATCTGCAAAACAAATTGATTAAGGATATTTGTGTCATTTATGCTATATATTTTTTAATACAATAAATTATTATTATTACTACTAATCTCTTGCTTGTGCAATGCACGAGATATGTTATTTTCAAGGTATTGTTAGCATTTTGAATATTAAGGATTGAAGAAAGATGTGTGCATTGAAGATTCATTTTTCCTATAAAATCTATACTATTAGTTTCAATGATGAATTTCTTTTTGAATATAGAACATATTGTTGGAATTTCGTTATGATGGATTTTTGTAATGTCTCTATTAATTGTACTATGTTTTTTTTATAGTTATTAATGAATTTAATCTTTTAATTTAACTTAATTATTTATTTAGTAATTTGTGCATTTGTAAAATAAATAAATAAATAATTTTTCAAATAAAATAGATTATTAAGAATATATGAAAAAGAGAGAGAGAAGAAAATGATTATAGACTATTCATTTGGTGTAAGTTTTAGTATAATGGTTGGAGATAATTTTTAATTCGGTGTAAGATATTGTGTAAATTTTGATGCAGAGTTGGAGATTTCTTGATTTGATTCATTATAATTTGAATTCTAATATTTCTTTATCATGTTTACTTGAATAATAAAGGACATTATTGACAGAAAGAAAACATAAAGTATAAAAGTGTCAACTAAATGTTTCTTGTCGATCCATCATGCTCATTGTTTATATACTATAGAATTTTTTTTTTCGATTAAATTATAATTTATTTTTTTATATCTTCTTATCAATTGTACATTCTATAATAAAATAATATTACTCGTAAATTCAAAAATAAATTTAATTATACATTCTTCAAAAATTTACTATTCTACTTATTATAATGGGAAAAATTAGGGCCAAACAGACGCTTAAATTATATTAAAAATAAAAATAACTTCGACAGGACATCCCTATAACTGAGTATCTGAATATCACATCTAATAAAGATAGAGGACTAGGAGATAAAATTTACTCTTTATTTTCGCTTGATGCTCTATTATTCTATCTCTAGTGCTGGTTTGCCATTTGCAGCTTTCGGTGGTCCTGTTGGGGGGACCCCATGGTTGAGCCGCCGTCGGACCCCAAGTCCACGTTACGCCGGTCCCTCCAGCCCTTTTATTGGGAGTTGAGGCGTTCTTCCTTTGTCCTCAAATGTGGTCCAAATCTACTTCTACCCGCCACGTGTTTCATTTATTATTCCCGCTTCCTTTTCCTCCTACGATTCATTCCCCTTTTCTTCTTGTCTTTGCTCTTACCGAATTTTCTTTTCTTCCACATTTACATTTTTGCCCTACACTTTCTGTGAATTATTGATTATTTTAAAATTCCTACAGAAAAAATAATTTTGTCTTCGGTCAAATATTAATTTAGACCCTGTTTGGCCCCCACGGGGAAAATTTAATGTATAGAATAGTGTTTTTTGAAAAATGAGTGGTTGAAAAAGAAAGAAATTTTTTTGATTTACGTGTAATATTATTTTATGGAAGATTGTGTAGTTGAAAATAGGAGAGAAAAGTAGAATGTAATGTAATGTAATTTAATGAAAATCAAACAAGTGCTTAGTCATGCAGAGTGACCGTATTGTCCTTGTATCAAAGTTTCCTCTAGACAATCTATGTAACGTTATGCAAGAAACTATCATAGAGAGAAAATGTGGAAACGGACTTGTGTCAATTTTGCATAGCCCTATTGATTTTCATTCTATTACATTTTATTTTTATCTCTTTTATTTTTAATCAAATAATCTTTTATAAAATAATATTATACATAAATTGAAATTTTTTCCTTCTTTTTCAACCACTTATTTTTCAAAAAATACTATTTCACCCATTTTCTTTTTAACAAAATAGAGGCCAAACGGGGGGCTATATGATTGCCTAGATGCTTCGAAATTTATGCAAATAAATGTGTAAATCCACTAGAAATTGTAACAAACTTTGTTTATTTTTACGAGATTGTCAAGATATTTTGAAATTCACGAAAAAGAGTGTCTAAATGAAATTCTCATAATATGTCTAGTTTACATAAAATGCCTCAAATATTTCGTCCATATTTGGTATAAATACTCTAAGAGGGTGTTTCAGAGACATTGTTATGTAAAAATGTATTTTTGAATAATAAATTAATGAGAAATGTGTGGTTAAAAAATAAGAAAAGAAAATTTGATTTACGTATAATATTATTTTAATAAAGAATGCATGGTTGAAAATAAGATAAAAAAAATACATTTTGAAAAAAATGGGTACCAAACGGGCATAAGATTCATTTCTTTTTAAACTCATTTTTAATCATATATTCTCTCGATCATACAATTTTGCATATAAATTCGTAACTTTTTTTTATATTTACCAAGTCCATTTTCATAAAAGTCTATGCCAAACTGGCCCTCATAGTTTGAGCAAAATTGTAGCGGCAGAATTTGGGAACAAGGGTATATTTGTCAAAAAAAACTAGAAATTATTGAGAAACAAAAAAAATGGTAGAACAGCAGACTTTTGAATTAGAAATTCGTATAAATACAGACGTGTTTTAACTATTCTACAATAATGGCGTTTCCGAACCATTTCTCACAGGAAATGGCTCTACGGCATCTTTCCGAACAAAACTCCTCTGCTTTAAGCAACGTACTCCCAGAACAAATGACTGCTCGCTTGCCGGAGCACCACCAACCGCCGCCTACGTGGCTGAACAGCGCTATTCTCCGCCAGCAGAGTCAATTCACATCCACCGGCAACGGGAATTTCCTCAATATGCAAAACAACTCGCACTCCGCCTCAGCGCCGTTGCAGGTTTCGAATAATCAGTGGCTTTCACGGCCAGTTTTGCAGCGAAATGTCAGTGACGTGAGGGATGATGTTCAGGTGTCCAGTGATTCGATGATCGGCACTGATTTAAACAACAACAACCACAATAATAACACTCACACTGGCAGAAATGAAAACAGTGAGTTAACGGATGGCGGCAGCGGCGGTGGTGAAGGAGTGATTAATTGGCGAAATTCGAGGTACAAAGCGGAGATTTTGTCGCATCCTTTGTATGAGCAGCTATTGTCTGCACATGTGGCGTGCTTGCGAATCGCGACGCCGGTGGATCAGCTCCCGAGGATCGATGCTAAGCTTGAACAGTCACAGCAAGTGGTCGCTAAATACTCCGCGCTTCAACATGGAAATCACGGCGATGATAAAGAGCTTGATCAGTTTATGGTAAGACTTTTTCTTATTTTTGACTCTCTTGTTACTATATTATGCAAAACGTTGAAGAGTTTACTTAATTTGACTTCTTTTGGTGGCATTAGTTAGTGGCATATATAAATTGAGGATTCCTATCCATGTGCTTTGGACTTCCGTTTGATGTGAAAGGATGCCTAACATAGAATGCAATCAAACAATTATAGGAGAAGGAAAAAGGGGAAAGAAAAAGAGAAAGAGAAACGAGAGGAAAAGAGAAGAAGGGGCAATAAAAAGGGAAGAAGCATTAGACAGAAGCAAAATTTAACACAGAGAAAATATCTTTATTTCATTATCAAAATTGTAAGAATTAAAAAGCATAAGCCCCTTTATATAGGGTTTAAACTGGTCCAAATTGAAGTAGAAAAATACTATAAAATCTATGAAATCAAACCCTATTTATGTTTTTTAAAATAAGCATTAAAATTGGAAACTAAATTAAATAATATCTATATTTCCATCAATGTCTTTTGTGTTATTTTCTATTAAGATCATGAGAATTATTATGTGCTATCCAACTGTATATTTTGTTTGAAGTGTTGAATTAGTATCTTAACTTTGTTTCAATTTAACTTCCCCTGTATGGATACGGCTATAGTTGCATAATATTCTTATTGGGGAGTCAATGTGGACTTTTACACATTTAAAAATATCAAAGCTCTTATTTATTTATTTTTTTCGCCCTTTTTTTGTAGACACATTATGTCTTGTTATTATGTTCATTTAAAGAACAACTTCAGCAGCATGTGCGTGTTCATGCAATGGAAGCAGTTATGGCTTGCTGGCAGATTGAGCAATCATTACAAAGCGTAACAGGTGATGCTTCTCTATTTTTCTTCCTGTTGATGTCAGATAAAATATATTGTTATTAACACGAGAAACGGACCGTCAAATTCTGTCCACTGGTGTATTTTACGAAATCAGTTGTATAGGTACTGATCAGCACTACCCTCATTCTCATTTACTCTTTCAATTGGATGCCTCTACATCATAGAAGATTTAAAGCAAGTCCACTGGTGCCTGTCACCAATTTGAAGCTAGTAATATTTAGATTGTAAAGTTGTCATATTTTGTTTTCTGTCATTCCAATTACTTCATTTTACCCATAGGCATAATTTGTAAACATGTCCAGTATATTTAGTCCCTGCTGCAGCACCTTCATTGGCAACCGATTGGTTTTAAGCAGAAACAGGAAAATGCATGTGCAAAAATCAGGAGACCAGTCATGCTTCTTGAGTAACAGCTAGTTGCAGATTGGAGAAATTGATGCACAAGAAGGTTCTTGCACACTAAATATCTGCAACACATTCCCACAGTTTTGGGTTCCTCGCCTTCAATGTATAATGAAAGAGAAATCATTGTAGATTAGAAACAACGGAATATTCAAACATATAATAGACACAAAAGCACTCGTTTGCTAGTAGATTGCTGAATGGGGCTTGAAGAAGTGTGTGTTAGTAGATCATCATTGTAAAATTGCAGGGTAGGGTTTCTCCTGCTTTCGTGATATTATTACAATTCTCAGTCTCTACTGACATGGACACAATTTGATTACTGTTGTAATTGTAGCCTTCAATGGTTCTCAATATGAGGTAGAACTAAATCTTCTGAATGCTTTTATTCCGCTAACTATGCATTGAACAGCCAAAAAATGGCACAATGCTAAAGTTTGCCATCACATGCTTCGTGAGCAGGAGTTTCTGCAGGAGAAGGAACAGGTGCTACAATGTCTGATGATGATGAGGACCAGGTAGAAAGTGATGTAAACATGTTTGATGGAAGTGTAGATGGTTCCGACAGTATGGGATTTGGTCCTCTGATCCCAACAGAGAGTGAAAGGTCAATAATGGAGCATGTACGGCAGGAGCTAAAGCATGAGTTGAAACAGGTATGAAGTACATAACTGTTTGTCAAGAATCATTTTGTTCAACTGTATACACTAACCATTCCTTTTTATTTTTCCTCCACACAGGGTTACAAAGAAAAGATTGTGGACATCAGGGAGGAAATTTTACGCAAGAGAAAGGCGGGAAAGCTTCCTGGTGATACTACATCGACGTTAAAAGCTTGGTGGCAATCACATTCAAAGTGGCCATACCCTACCGTAAGTTTCAGAATGAAAATTAAATATTGCATTCTTGGACAAATTAATTAAGAAAGTGAAAACCAATGACAGTTCAGTATTGTTGACATGCAATTACCAATTAGAGCGCTAGTGTAAGGCTTTCCAAATTTATTAGTTCTGCCTTTTATTGGACTGGTCTGGATTAGTTGTCGTGGCAATGGGGAAGACGCCATTTGATTTTAGTTTACTTTTAGTATCCTGCTCAGGTAATTAAACTCCTGTGGTTAATATGTACTTTGCAGGAGGAAGATAAGGTAATATTGGTGCAAGAAACAGGCTTACAACTGAAACAGATAAATAATTGGTTCATTAATCAAAGGAAGAGGAACTGGCATAGTAATTCGTCCTCCTCCACATCCTTGAAAAGCAAACACAAAAAGGTATTCAAATCTGTACGAATGTACACAGCTTCAGTAGGAAGTTTTAAGGATATTTCCACTGATTTAATTGGAATAAGTAATGCAGGTGAAAACAGGGACGACCATTTCACATAATTGATGCGAGCTTCTCGAGTAACAGCTATACATATTTCCCCTTCATTTAGTATATTTTAATCTGGAAAGTTCTCGCTTATGGTTGCACTTGTTACAACATGGAGGGACGGAAAGAGATCACTAATGTTGATGGTAGAGGTTATGGTGGATGATTTTGCTCCTCTCTGATCCTGAGGAGAGGAAACAGCCTATTACAGTAGATGTTTGTTCCTTGGCAGTTAAGGTTTATAGATGCACGACGACTGGTTGGATATAGTATGCCCGTCCCTTCATGGACTCGTTCGATTTTGTTATTTCCGTATGTGTATAAAAATAGGAATTCTATTTCCAGTGTACAGTTCAATAATCTATGGATTGGTGTGGGAAATTGATATTATCCGTGAACTTGTTTCGCTTATTGATAGTATACAATTGCTATAATTTTGATTGATCACAGATTTGGATACTTCTCAACTTCATGTCTATTCTTATTAAGCTGCTGCAATTGATGCATCTCTTCAAAAGTGTTACTAAAATCTATATCTTATTATTTTTTTTTTTTTCTCTTTTTCACGGATTTCTTACAATTTAGGCATTTTCTTCAAAGAAAGTGGAGAGTTTCTAGTCTATTTTGACACGCTACTCTTCCTCGTATATGTAGACAATAAATTTTATATTGACGAAAATCTTGTCGATTTTACTTGTGATGTCGATGGAACCAACTACAATCAGTATTATAGAGATAATAATATAATATTGTTACATTTCCACATCAAAATGAAAAGATAGAAAGAAAGAAAGAAAGGAAGTTCGAGCATCCTGTTAAACCTTCGCTATTTTATAAATGTGTTAATGCTTATGAAAGTGAAGTCAAATTAACACCATCCCCGTACAATCATCATTTAAATCAAGAATTCCATTGGCGCGTTTGATTGACTTTATTTTTTATGAAAAATGTCAATTTTTCATTCAAGTTTCTATTTGGGATGTTTGATCCAAAAGTTATCAAATACCAAATTTTCCTCCAAAAACAAGAAAATATTTTCTTTAAGAAGTGAGAGATTATTATTTTCCAGACAATTGATACACACACACTCTCTATTGTTCATCCACTAATAAAAATGAACAAGTATAATATTATCTAGGTTGAAAATTAAATCAATCAAACATATTTAATTAATAATTTACATGAAAATAGGTTCACCCTTGCTGTTTGATTCTGGAAAACAAAGAATTAATATTCAAAGAAATTGAACACAACCATTTACGATCGAAAGGCCACCAAATCTCGCTAACATAATTCAACCAAGATCTCCCGAGAAGAATGTGAGACCGCCACCTGCGAAGACTGCTCCTCCAGGCTCCTCCTCACCTCCGCCACCGCTGCTGCCCTGGCATCAGCCACCTCGTCTGTTCTCTTCTTCATATTAGACACCTCAAGGCTCTTACTCAATCTGCATGTCTCCGTTGGTGACCTTGGCGTTGTGGGTGCCAACAACATTTTGGATGCCCTCAGCGGTGATGCCGGTAACTTGGCTGAGAAATTCCTTATCGGAAGTTCCTCGTCCCCATTGACAACTTGGTTAGAATCGTCAAAGTTGAGGGCATAACTGAGAGGATCGTAGCTAAAATCAGCAGATGCATGGCGCCTATGGCGGCGCTTGCATTTCCCTTTGATGTCCATATGGTCATTAGGCTTTGAGCAAATCCATATAGATGACAACCTTCTTGGACTTGGCATGGAAGAGGAAGATGAAGAGGCATCTAATGAGAATCCACGGCGGTGTTGGGATCCATTGAAGCAAGAGGTAAGGCTCATAGAGGATTTCTTGAGCCTCAACCTCAAACTCGACATCTCGTGCTCGTCCTCCATTTTTGGCTTGAGGGAAAGAGATTATTTGTGGTATTTGAGACAAAAAGAGTCAATTCTTGAGGTAGAAGAATTGTGGGATGCATGAGAACATTGAATTCTACATATATGTGTTTGGAAGGTCAAAAATGAAGAAAATTGGTTTTTCTCTTTTTTTATGGTCCACCAAAAGAAATGCGAGAAACCAGAGGAATTTGTGGACTGAATTGAGATTTCTAAAAATGCCTCTATACTAATTGTGACACTTCTTTCTGGTCCTTCAAATTATTCTTTCTGGTCCTTCAAATTATACTTCGTCCCTGTTGGCTTTATAGCTTACAATTGAGTTAACCACCAAGATAAGCCGTACGAATAATTACACAAAAACTTGGATTTCCAATATATTGAATGCATCAGAAGGAATGCTTAGAATATGTTTCGAATATATCAGAAGAAGCTGATGACAAAGAGAGCAATACCTCTACGTGCAAGTATAACTTGTTTTCTACTGAAGAGCAACATAAATAAGGCATGATTTGCAGGTAAGACAACCCGAGTCAGTCAAAAATTCTCTCCCCAGTGGAGAATAGAAGAAACAAAATTGAACTCAAGATACAAAGTGACCCTGGGATGAGAAAAACTGCTCTCCAGCTATCTGGACTAGTGAGATCCAACTGAGCAGATTTAGCGGCTTCAAGAAGTCGACCAGTAAGATCAACCCCAACTATGCCAGCTAAAGTACCAGCTGTGTTAGAAACCCCCATTACAATTCCAGCATACCTTGGAGCAATATCCATGTGATTTACTGCAAATCCAGCTCTCCCCAGTGCCAAGAAACCAAGAGCCACAGAAGAACAAAACACAACTCCATCAGGTGTTCTGAACCTGGGAAGAGCCATTAATGCAAAAGAAGCCACCACAAATCCTATGGTATTTAAAAGCTTTCTTGTTCTAGTCACAGACAAGACTTTCCTGGTAATCAAGTGATCAGCAATCACCCCACCGATATTTGAGAACAGAAACATGTTGAAATAAGGCATCATCTTAGAAGATCCCATGTTTTCAAGACTAAGCTGAAGGCCCAATTCAAAGTATGTTGGGAGCCAGTTCATGAGAACGTAAAGAGCATAATGGAAAGTGAAATTATTCACCACAATTGCCCAAACTGGCAAACTGAAAATAATTTTCTTCCATGGAATTTTTGGGGTTCTGTTGGAATGTCCTCCATTCTCAACTTTCGTCTTTTGGTTCCCTTTAATTGGCAGCAATAATTCTCCAAATCCAGCAGCAGTGGCTTTTGGATGCTCAGAACGAGGTGGGTCAACGGCATACTTAAACCAAAGTAGAGACCAAATGGAACCTAAAGCAGCTTCAGCAAGAAATACCGATTGCGGACCTCGAAACTTGACCAGGCTAGGAAGCACAAGCATTCCTGCGGCTGCACCAAAATACATCCCCGAAGTTGTCAGAGAAACGGATCTTGATCTTTCATGTGGTGGTACCCATTGTGCCAGTATAGTGTGAATGGAGGGAAAGATGAAGCCTTGGGCAACTCCGACAAGCAAGCGGGATATGACCAATATCGTAACTCGGTTCAGATCAAGTGGCATAAAAGCACAAGTTATAGACCATAAAACAAATGAAAGTAAGAGAATACGCCTTCCCCCAATTTTCTGGGCCGCCCAACCACCCGGAACTTGTGAACACACATACCCATAATAGAATGTCGAAAGTATCATGCCCTTGCTCGATTGATTTACTCCTGAGGCATCAGCAGCAGCAGTATATGCAATGGAAAAACCCACACGTTCTATGTAGCAGACAGAAGTACAGATGAAGGTCAAAATGACAATCACGTAGCGCTTTGGAATGTTTGTTCTCTTCATTCTCTTCATTCTCTTTTGGGTTTATGAAAAGAAATCATATAGATATGGACGACTCAAATACTTAACAAACTATCTGTAACTTTACATGTCTTTGATTTTTACCGAAATGATTCCAAAACAACAGCAGCAATTCCAAGACTCCAGAAGCAGCCAAACTAGAAGCCCTTCCTGGATTAAAAAATTGAACAGGATATATTATCAAGAAGATAATCGTGCAAGGAACTTTCATAAAATGAGAAGAAATTCATATAAGACAATGATTTAGTACAGGAGACTTTTAAAGCAACTTCTAGCAACCTGAACATCAGATGGTCCTAATTGATTTGTCAACATGCCAGTTTGTTACAATGTATCTTCTAGACAGCAGTAACATAGGAAATGTTGAACAGAGTACAATTTGGATGTCTATTGGCATTTAAGTGCTAATTGTTAATCATGACTCAAAAGCCCTTCAAGACAAACATCAAGAAAGAAATAAAAATTTTGCAACATGGTTTGAGATAGGATAATGTAAGCACAGGTGTACATATGTATGGCTTTCTTGTGCACGTTTGCAACTACTAGTGAATTTGTGATACGTGAGAGTGCACAAATCTTCCCATACAATGGCCCGGATTCAAATGGACCTACGAGTTATCATTCTCAGCTTTTGGTTCTTGATCTTGGGTTATGCCACATTGGCAAGATCAACAAAATGTAAATATGTCAGAGTAAGATTAGAACATGATACACACATGACACACCAATCCGCATGCCATATTTACACATCCTTGAATTCTTCCCATCAATTGTTTCAACTAAAACAGAATAAACACGAGTCAAGAGCCAAAGTTTTCATTTCGGAAATACAATTTCATCTTGCATTTCATGAATTCATAAAAGAATTTTCCAAATTAATCTATGCATCTAATACTACCTGATCTCTTTAAAACAAACTTTAACTTATACGACGAAAAAAAAAAAAGGAATCAAAAGCAGTTCATTTAACACGACAGAAATATTCACACACACTAAACTCAATGGAGGTCAGGGAATCACGTGCCGCCAATCAAATTAAACAAAAAATAAAATTAAACCATACAATTGCTGTACTAATAGAACAAATCAATAAAAAAGTCAATGAAATAGCAAATGCCATTAAATCCAAGCCAACAACGGTGTTAAATTTCTAAAAGAAAATAAAAAGTACATCAAATAGAAGATACCCATGTAAATTATCCTACCTCTAAAGTAAGAAGGGCTGCCCAGAACAAATATATTAAAGAAAATGTTTCAGCAATCAAGCGAGCTCTGGATATCACAAGCTTTTGACCGATTAAGACACAGAAAAAGGCGATTACACAAGGCTGACAGTATAGGTTTGAAAGCAATGATCCACTGTAATGAAGTATAAATTTGTGGCTTTGTGGATTACTCTCTCAGATTCAGAATGAGAGAAAGGAAATGGAAAAATTGAAAGAAACCGTCGTACGAGTTGAAAAATTGTTTCACTGATATGTATAACAAGGGTATATTTCATCTGGAGTCACTAAAGTTTCAGAAATAACTCAATTGAGTCACTAGAGTTCTAATGTTTTCTCAATTAGGTCCTTAAACTTCAAATTTGTTTCAAAATTTGTCATATTCCATAATCTACTGTCCCAACAATAACGGAAATTACATTGTTGACAATTATGTAGTAACCGATCTTCCAATTAACTAATATTTGGTACCCTACAGACAAAAATAGTAAATAAGGATTGTAGAAATATCGTAAACCTCCATTTGGGAAGAATTTATAAATGGTTTAATTTATAAACAGATAAAAATGATTAATAAATAAGTAAATAGTACTTTTGGATCCATTGGAATATTTGATTTTTGTGACAATTTATAAATATTTTATAAATTTTGTCAAACAAAGAGTAAAATATTAAAGGGTGTTTTGAAATTATCTCAATACTTTTATGACATATAATAATAAGTTAGTGCGCAATAAAATAATTACTTAGTAGATCTGTTTGTTATACGATTGCCAATTAAGCAGATAAATAATCAATATGGAGACGATATATGACAAAAGTGTGAAATTTAAAAATAAAATTGAAGTTTAATGACCCAATTCAAATAAATTAAAATTTAGCAACCCAATTATAAATTTAACTGAAAATTCAATTTTGCAGATGAAAATTTCCTTGTATTATTTTGACTCGTCATCATTTTGACTTCGAGAAAATTACACCACAACATGTGTTTAAAGATGACAATTCTAAAATCAGGTAATAATGAAATCCAAAATTGTAGTCTCTCTCTCTCTCTCTCTCCTATTCTTGCAACTCGTCATCGGAGCTTTGATGCAAGGCTGCGCACAGCGACGTTCAGATCGAGATGGCCGTTTTCAAGTTAGGGTTTGGGGTTATTCGAATCGACGTTCAGATCGTTGTCGCTGCTTATAGAGGCCCACCATAAATTAAGGCAATTACTTACAAATATGGGGTTTTCTGGCTTTTTTTTTTTTTTTTTTTTTTTTTTTTTTTTTTTAATTGTTGATGCTATTGAAACGATGGTGGTGGAGGTGGTTTTTGGTGGTTTGTGGGTGATGATGGCGGTGGTCGTTCAGGTGTTAATAGAAACAGTAGTTCTGCTAGTATTATTGCAAGCGACAGTGGTTTTGTTGTTGCAAGCGATGATCTTTGTTTTGTTGGACATGGGATGAGGTGCTCGAAGTGGTGGTTGGAAGCATAGTTATTAAACCCGACCCGGCCCGACTCGACCATTGACCTGATCAAGGCACTTGTATTAGGTTGCTGGTCGAACCGGTGGGTTAGTGGTTAAACAGGTGGGTCAATACTCAATAATTATAAAATATTTTTTAAAGTATAAAGTTTTTCTTTTAGATGAAACAAAAAGAAAAAAAATTATCTATTATTAATTATTTATATATTTATATATTATTGTGTTAAATATTCAATTCATGTTAATCAAAATAGTTGCTATTATTTTTTAAAAATATTTTTAACAAACTATAAATGATTTACATATATATAATATTGCAAATACATATTAATAAATAGTAGATCTCTAGTGGTTAGGTGGTACTCATTTAACATAGAGGTCTAAGATTCAAGTCATTTTGAGAACAAAAAAATTTATGGGATTGGGTGGACAGTTAGGGTGGGTGGACAACAGTGTATGGGATGGGGGGACAGTTAGGGTGGGTGTGCATTGATTAATTTAATTTAATTTACCCCCCTTAACTTTTGTAATTGTGATTGAGATTGGGCCACCCCCAGGTCAAGCCGCAACCAACCCAGGTCCAAATCGATCTAGCTCTTGGTCAACTCTCAAGTCCAATGGAGGAGTCGAACTATCACAATCTCGTCCTCCATTCTATTCCATAATGTCATCTTAATGATATTCATAGCTGAAAATGGACGATATATAGTAATTGTTGAGACAAGAAGATTTAAGGCTGGGGTAAGTAAACTATCGACAAGAGTACAGTTCATAAATTTTATTGTCATTGTGTCAATATTTGGCACAACTTGTAAAGCATTGGCTAATTTTAAAACTGAGTTAAACTGAACTTCGAATTTGAGAAGCTCTAATTGATTTTTCTGTACATTGATAACCTTGTAAATCTGAGCCTCTGGAATAAAATTCTTCTTCCACCAAGAAACTGGGTTCAAATTCGAGTCCACAAGATGACTACCTTCATTAACTACAAGCAATAGAATGCACTGGTGAAAATAGCCTCTCCCCCCCTTTTTTGTCCCCTTAAGAACAGAACAAAAATTCATCATGCTTACAACAAAGAAAGTTAAACGGCTTGAGAATAAGTGAAAGCATTTTCATCAGGCATGATTGTTTTATCAACTAAAATACACCGACAAAATAAACTGCATGGTGAAATCCCATATGCTATTCTCCAAATTTAAAGAGTTAACCGTGGATTCATTATATCTTTCATTGCAAACTTATGAAACGGTATGTTCCAATCAGATTCAGCTTCCTGCGACCTGCTGTTCTTTCAAAACCAAAGGAATAGCTGGTCTCCAAGTTGTGCACTCTGGGCTGTCCATGAGTGCAATGCCTAAACCCGACAAATATTTTCGAATTGCATCGGATTCTTCATATTGCTTATTTTTTCTTGCACTATTCCTTTCTTCAATCTTCTGTAGCACTTGATCTTCTGTCAACTTTACGCGCTTCAGTGCATAATCTCGTAGCTGCTGCAAAGCCTGGAACATGTATAACCATAAGCTCAAAATCAATTTTATTCATTAATTAAGGATTATAATGCCTGACAAAGGCCTAATTTTGAAATAAAACCCGCAGATAGCGTTAAAAAAAATTGACGCCACAAAAAATTGACATCATCGGTGATGAGCAATGCAGGATGGTTTTACTTGGTAGAAGCAGATGCAATAAAAAGAGAGTGACTAAAAATTTCGAAGGATTTTAAAATCACATGAAAGTAAGTAATTTATGCCTTTTGCAACAGACTTGCAATTCGATTGCTAGATATCAGAAACAAAACACGTCTAGTGCAACATGAAAACTAAAATGCAAGGCCAACTTAAATACAGCATCAAATTCTAGAGAACATCACAAAGGCCCACATAAATGCGTGCACATTAAACAAATCTTCGTTCTTATATTTTTCTTTCTTTTTTTTTTTTTGTGGGTTGTGGAGGGTGTTTGTTTTTAAATTTTTCATTTTTTTTTTTTTTTTTTTTTTTTTTGTGGGGTGTGGAGGTTCGTCAGAGAGACAGAGACAGAGACTTATTACCTCAGAGTAACTACTTGGCAAGAGTCCCAAAACAGTCCGAACATTTCTCATGGTATTTTCTAAAGCTGCAAGTGATTCTATTCGTAATTCTTGCTTCTTGCCCTGAGAATAACAGAGGTCATAAAAGGACACAAATAAGCCTAATTCAACTTTCAATGAGAGAATAAGATTATAACACATAATTGAAAAAGACATCAATAGTTATGTTAAAATCCAAGAAACAACTACACTGCCGAAAAAGACAGTGTAAATTAGTATACAGATTTATTGTTTCTGGAAACTATGTCTACTATCTCATCCATGCTTTAGATTATCTACAAAAAATACTTATCTGATTGGAACTGAAGAAGAAAACAAGCATTTAGATATATACCACTATAGGAAAATTGAACCGACAAATAAAATTGCTTAATCATGCGACTAAAACCAAAATACCTTACGAGTATGTAGAAGGTCATTGATGGTCTTCAATGGCTCTGACATTGCAGCCAAAGTTACGGGAGTACGGATATCATCAGACATTGAAATAAAAAAACTCATCATTAAATTTATCAATACAAAGTGTAGTTCCTGATGGAATAGAATGTTTCCGGCTTGCCTCATCATGCTGGGACAGGATATTCTCACAATCATGTAATGTCTGCAACCAGAGCATGACCATATTTGTTACACTGACCTTACAGTTAAAATATGAAGACATACAAGTTTTGCAGCGAACTAATACCCAATATTCTAGTTGTGTAAATATAAGAGCATCAACAAAGAGTATTTTAGAAAGATTATTCTTCGTTGTGCTTAAAGAGACTTCAAAAAAAGACTTATCCCACATAAATTGGGGGTCAACTACATAAAATTCTATTTCACCACTTCATTTCATCCATAGCTACGAAGATTCAATGTGATCATATCCTCACAACTACATCACAAACGTTAATTTTGGTTTGAAGTTAATTCGAAGCTTGCAATTTCATTTCAAATTTTTATCTTGAAAAATTAAGAGCCTCTGTATATCGAAAGTTGAATCCATCCTTTGCCTTTTCTTTTCCATTATTCCGTCGCATTGATTATGTTTAGATAATCTTTTTCTATTATTTGAAAAAAAAAAAAAAAAAAAAAAAAAAAAAAGAAGAAGGAGAAACTCCTGGCCCCCTGGTTAAGAGATAAAAAAATATAGAATACAGGGACAGGCTTGGAAGCGTGGTAAAGCAGTGCGTCAACACAATATCACACGGTAACTAGGGCATAATGCATGCAGAACTCTGATGGTACGAGACCTTGCAAAAGCAGTTACTTTTGAATTATTCAAATTTCAAACTATGAAAACGCTTGATACAGGAGAAAAGGAATTAATAAGTACAAAATGAAACAGAGTCGAGCCTTCATTGTGCCAGCCCAAGGATTGAGGGGATTGTACCTGATAGATGTAAAAAACACGCTCTGATGCACTTTCAAGCTGTATCTCTGAGTAATTGATTGGCGAACGATAATGAGTCCCCATTAGGAAAAGTCTCAAAGCCAGTGGATGATAATGTTCTAAGACCTAGAAAAAAAAATAATAATAAAAAAAAAAAATAATAATAATAATACCGGTCAAGAAAATAGAATAGAGAAAAACTACTAAAATTGGAAGCATTGAACAATATCAGATTATTGAGTTGTCAGATTGCAAACAAGTGGAATTTATTTGTTTCTACATGTATGTGTGTGCGAGAGATTGAGAGGACAATTTATTTCCCTGTACCTGCCGAATTGTGAAAAAGTTTCCAAGAGACTTTGACATCTTCTCCGAGTCAATAGTCACAAATCCATTATGTATCCAATATCTTACATTGCTCTTATGGCACGCAGCACAGCTTTGCGCTATCTCATTTTCATGATGGGGAAAAATAAGATCCATTCCCCCACGATGAATGTCAAAAGAATAACCTAGATAAGTAGCGCTCATGGCACTGCACTCGATATGCCATCCGGGTCTACCAGGACCCCACGGACTCTCCCAAAAAGGTTCTCCCTCCTTTGCAGACTGTAAACAGAAGACAAGCACTAGAATGATTGGAAAAAAATGGTAGACCTTCACAATGAACAAGGATGAAATTCAACAACCATGCTGATGCAAACTTCTCTCTAGTTAACTGAAAAGTGAATACTGAATGTCCTTCTTGCCCCACTATTATTAAGGAAGTGAATGTGGTCAGTAAAAAAGAATTGTAAACTATCTTATGCTCTAGTTAGATTGATTAAACCAACCTCCCTTCTGGTATAAAAATATAAATGAAACTCATAAAATCGAACCTACCATCAATAACATTGAATGAAAATATTGAGGGTAAAAGTAAATTCAAGAATCATGAGGAAAGGTATCCTGAATTATGACAATCAATAAAGGATGCAACTATCATTTACCTAAATATTAAGGCAGGTATACATATATGCTTTGCAACCATCTATAGATGTATAAATACATTTTTTTCTAAATACATATGAACACAGCCGAAGTTACAAGCAATTACTTTCCATAATGCAAAGTCAGCTGGGTTTTTCTTCCTTGAGTCCACTGCCACCCGTTCACCCGCTCTATTATCTTCTAACTTACGGCCAGATAATCGTCCATAGTAGGGGAAGTTGTCTACAGAGAAGTACACATCACCTTGGAGAGTGTACGCCCACCCATTATCAAGTATCTGTCACAAAAGCATAAAGTCTCCACTTAATGCTAACATGCTAAGTTTCTTTGTAATGTCAAAATCTAAGGATAAAGAGATAGATCAAAGCAAAATCATGAACTTGAGAGTTCAAATTAAAAGAAAAATGAATTTTCACTAGTTTACAATGTCTACAAAATATCCAGGAACAATTTCCTTTCCAGAGCTACAAGGACAAAAGGGATTTGATCTTGGATTACTCAAATTAAAGTTTTCAATGCAACTGAGGGCGTATATTTAGAGTTTCCTCCATAAATATACAAATTTTTTGCCAAAATAAAAGAATAAAATAAAATAAATGGTAAACACTTTCAATAGAGGTGGACAAACTGCAAGAGAAATTTCTTTATCCCAAGGCACCAAAGAAAGAAGAAGAAAGAGGTACCTGCTTAATCATCTCAATGATTTCTGGAATGTGATCAGACACTCGAGGTTCCACTGAAGGAGGAAGACAATGTAGATTTGACATATCACAATGAAACTCTTCGCAATATCGTCTGCTTAAATTTATTGGATTCTTCCCCAACTCATTTGCTCTTGCAATAATCTACAGAATTTGAAAATTGCAGACTCAGCCATCCTGTCATACATATGTGGAAATTGTAGGTACTTGTAAGAAAGCTACAGTATCAACGTCTGGAAATTCAATAGCTTTCTCAAAAGTGTTATATTATAAGTAGACATATGCAGATAAGCACAAATACATCTTTTGGCTCTTTGAAACAACACACCTTATCATCAACAGCAGTGAAATTCCGAACGTAGTTGACGTCATATCCCAAATACTTGAGGTATCTGCCTAAATTTCAAAGAATGGAAGGGAAAAAAGTGCAATTAATTGTAACACACAATGTTTTACTACTAAAAACAAGCAGGAAAAACTTATCCGAAGTAGAAATCCAAAAGCACTTTGAAATTTTACTAAGCACATAGAACATGACTCTCCAACATAAGTGTATAATATGTCTATCTTGAATTAAATTAATTTTTTTTATTGTTTATTTTTTTTTCATTTTTTGAAAATCAAAAGACACTCATATTATTATCATTATGAACAAAGAGCATAATAATAGAAGGGGTAAAATCAACCAGGGAATTAGTAGCAATTAGCAAAAGAAGAGTAACTGTGAAATTAGTAGAAATTAGCGAAAGAAGCAAGATTGATTGGCTAGGTTATTCCCTTTTCTAGGAACAAAGCAAAGCGAACCATGCCCCACCTCTTTTAGTAAAGCTACAATGTCAAGGAAAACAAATGCATTCAAAGAAAGGAAGTACGAATTATTGCTCCAGATCAAAAAATGATTAACACGCATTAGTTCACATGGATCAGGGAAGCAAAACTCCGCATCCTTGAAGTTATAGCTCAGACCAGTGAATTGCTTATCAAGATTCACTGTTAAATTTCTACAACTTCATCGAACATAGACAAAGTTTCCTAATATTCTCATAAAGATTAGAACTTTCAAATATTTCGTTTCAGAAGTTCATAAGATTCTGAATATCTTTTTCCATCCATTATTTCATTTCACCCAATTATTTTTCTTAACCACAACTAAAATGCACCAAATACATCTACAGGTATATAAATTAACAACTATAAACAAACACGTAGAAAGAGGAAGAATGCACACCTGTACAAGACATCGAAAAAGACGTAAACGCATGCCCACTTTGGCTTCAACATTTGGCTTAAACAGTTCCTTTTGCCTGCTCATAGTATTGTACAACCACGACTCCTTTTTCTTCATCGGTATGTGATTATTATTATCATCATTAATTGTGTCACTTCTCGCCCGATTACTGGTCAGAGGAAGAGAGTTATTACTGCAGTAAATTGAAGAGAAAGTGTGGAGTCGAAAACTGGTTCCGGTGGAAAGCGATTTTGCTTTGGAAGTTTGGCGGTAAATGCGTGGAATCAAGGGATTGTAGCATTTCAAGAGAGACGCCATTGGAGTGGTCTCTCTATCTATCTCTATCTCTCTCTCCCTGCCGCGGAGGTTGAGCGACAAGTGTTAAGTATTTATTATTCGGAGATAAATTTCATCCGTGGTCATTCAACTTTCAGAAAAAATCTCAATTAGCCCATGTTTAACAACCATTTAAAAAAAAAAAAAATTAATTATAATAATAATAAAATCATGTATTTATTTTCAACTGCACATTCTCACAATAAAAAAATTTGCACGTAAACAAAAACATTTCCCTTAATTTTTAATCATACATTCTCTAAAAATTTATTATTCAAAAACTCGTTATTTCCAAAAAAGAATCTATCAAAAAACTACTAAATTTCAAAACTAAGTCACATTCCCTCCCACTCATCTCCCAAGCTGATTGCTTTATTTACCTGGAGTTTAGTGATCCATTTGAAATTAAATTGTAATTTAGTGATTCAATTGAGATAAGAGTAAAATTTAATGACTTAGAACCTGTTTGTGAGTGATTTTGAAAATTAATTTTTTGATCGTTAAGAGAAAAGTGCGGCCTATCTGTGAGAGAAGAAGTCAAATATAACGATTGAAATAGTAAAATAACAGTCAAAAAATCAATTTTTTGAATAAAAAAATACTCCCAAACAGGCAGTTAATTGAGATTTTACTGAAAATGAAATTCAAATATTATCCATCCTAATGGAATTGAAATCGCACTTCCACCACCAGGAGGAATTCAACAATACAACAGATAGTATGAGTTGAAGAGAGCTCATTGATAATCAAAATAAGAACCTATGCTTAAGAGTTTTAGTAAAAGGGCCCTGTTAAACAGTTCCAGGACAAAATGTATTTTCCGAGTTCTGGGTACAAACCGATATCTAATTTCTAACTAGGCCTCTGTGTTGCTCCAGCCAAAAAGTTTGTGAGAGAGGGAACAGCAACACCTTGGTTTCTCATTTCCTCTTGAGCTCGTTTCATTTCTTCAGCATCTATGTCACATAAGAAAACCAGAAGCGCATTATAATGGGACCATATTAACATATCAGTTCAACTGGGCTCGGATTTAGAAATGCCAAAGATAATCCAAATCAATCAAAAGCGAGATGGATGAGTCCAAGGCTTCAGTGCTGTAACTCTTACCAACTAGTTTGGGCATTAAAAACACCACAATAGCCATAAATCCGACCATCAGACCCATTGGGCTCTTCACGATAGACATTACGGAGAATGGTTCTCTTATCTGCAAAAGAGTAAATTGGAAATTGAAAAAGAAAAGAAAAAAAAAGCAGACGTAATTTTGAGAATCACTAATGACCTATACAAAGAACAGGAGGTATCAATCACGATAAAGGGTAATCTAACCTCGTAATACTGTTCCTCCCTCAAAGGCTCCAAAACAAGCTCACTCAATACTCTCCTGTTCTCTGTCAAAGCTGCCTGAACTTTACCAGGGTTTCTAGCACTGACATCTATGCGTACCTGGCAGCCGATAGAAGAGACCGGGATTATATATGTAATGTTTGATTGATTACTAAATTAGTTCAATAACAAGAATAATACGGGAAATGGGAGATGCTCACCGGAGAAAAGAAATAGCCAATTGCAGCTACTTCAATAAGATGAGTCCCTGCTGGCACATTATGGCTTGAGGCATAATGGTTAAAGAACTACGCTAAATTTCATAATTCAAATCCAAGGGACGCTGGATGTAATGGAACATTTGTAGGAGAAGGGAATAGGGGAGAAAAGAGAGAAGGAGGAGGAGAGGATAGAGAAATTGGGGAAGAAATAGTTTATTTCATACAATCAAGTTGTTCTATTACATCTCCATAATCCCCTTTATATAGGGTTTCAAAAATCATAAATAAGTAAAGAAATGCCATAAAAGTTAATTAAATCACATTCTAATCATGTTTCCTGAAATACGAATCAAAATAGGAAACTAAATAAATAATTTATCTCTATAATATTGCATCACCAAGTGTGCTTTCAGAATTATAACAATAAGAATACTAGTTCCACGCATAACACAGTACCAGTTCAGGTCTCCATTCACAAGCTTGCAATAATGTGATGCAGTAAAAAGTAGGAAAATAGCAAAACATAACACTCGATATCAAGATATGCAACAGAACCACAGACCAACACCCAAATGGCGCTGGCTCGGCCCATCGCCATCCCTACCCAAAAGTAAATCAGTGCATAGTGACAAAGATGGTAGGATACAAAGAAAAATATCCATCAGGCCTTAAAAAGGTAACTCTCTGGCCACCATTAAGTATGACTTTGACATTTGATACTTTTTCTGGATGACCATATCCTGATATGCTAAATCCTATCAGAACAGAACATGTACACAGAAAGTCAGTCAGTAAGATGAAATACAAAAGATGGGAGCATTACAAACATGAAAATAGACAACTCTTGCAAGAGACAAGATACATACTTCGCCATATTTATAAGTAATTTAGTATTGCAAGACCATGCAGAATCATGTCCTGGTAACATGGACATTACCACTGGAGCAGTAGGAATAGTAACCTACTTGTACAATAGCTCCCAAAGATTTGGTTGGAAGCATGATGGCTAATACCAATGTTCTCTTGAGACTAATATACATATATAACCTTGTCTACATGTGAAAAAACAGATAATACTTGTCTCCAAAAGCAAGAATACTACACAACCCATATCCACCGGGGGGAGCCAGGAATGTAACAGAGTAGAGGAATATTCTACAATTGTCAGATGGTAGTTTGGTTGCTCCTATAAGAAGAGCAGCATAGTCTCTGTCCAGGAGAAATTTTCTCAAATATGAGAAAACATTACTGCTGTATTTACAAATATAGTGAGACAAAGCTCAATAAAATGGAGAAACATTGTTGTTGATTAAGTGGAGAGGTAAAAATAGAGAACTTAAAACATTTTTGGTAGCAAGTTTTGAAAGAAAATAAAAAATAGCTCCAAATTTCAGTCTTTTTCCCCAGAAACTTACTTTTTTTTATAAATGAACTCCATATACTATCATTATTCAAAAATTAATAAAAGTGGGATGAGAAGCACACTCACACAAAAAAATACATACCAGTCCACCTACTCCATATTTCTAATATAACGACCAAGTCTCTGTACACAAGTGCTCAATTGGTACCAATATTCAACTTAAGTTTCCCTTAAGGTAGATGATCTATCAAAGCGGTCAATACGTATGATATAATGCTTGGGCACAAAGGTTTGGTCATTATAACTACCACCGTTGACCAAATTAAGCCACTAATCAATATTTTCTTCAATACCCAATGGGGGCAATTTCACCCACTCAGCCCTTAGTGGCTCCACCACTGAACATCCAATTTATTCTCACCTCTGAACCTTCAAATGGTCAATATTGTTCCAAACCTGCCTATCTCATTAACGAATTGCCACTTCTCAGTAACTGAAAAGTAAAAATTGACATATTGTGAAAGAAATCCTAAGCAATTTAGATTCCAAGGACGAAATGTTTATAGATCTTTGATTTCAAAAGATGATTCAACTTCGATCTGGCAATCTAACTTAGTAATATTCGACTACTACAAGATCAAAGAGTCAAAACAAGTGACGGTGATAAACCTGATCTCTACATAAAACTCTTTATGTGTCCGCATCAATATCATTGATGATAATATATTTTCTTACACCACATTTTATCTCAGAACGTTCAGATTATGCGTTTAGGCAAAATTTCCTCAAATCTAAAACTCAATAAAATAATGCCTATCAATTTAATTGATCTAGTTTACCCTACCGATAATTTAGTTTCTTGAATAGCCGTACCGTCAAAGTTTACAAGAACATATAGTAGAAGCCAACATCAAACAAAAGCATTCAAAGTGTCTAGGTACTTGTAAAAATACAAATGAAAAATGGTATTGCTCAAATAACAAAAGAAAAACCCACCTGGAAGTTTTACTTTACCATTGATGCTATACCCCTCAATATCCCTACAACAAGGAAAAAAAACCCACCCAGAAGCACCAATATTAGAAATTAAAGGGGGGTCCGATTTACAAAGTACAGAGATAATCGATGTACATATGAAGAAAAGTAGTACCCAGAAGAGATCGCGAGCGTCGAAGGCAGAAGAAGTAATATTAGTGAAAGAAATATCGTTATATCATCACAGCAAGTTGTGGCCGCCATCGTATTGAGAAAGATGAACTGAAGAGAAGCGGTCTAAGCAGATATATTTGTTGGGAAGGAAAGTCCAAATTATCCTTAATCACACATTTCTAGTAACATTAAATACTTAATTTGAAGGAAAACATTAACTTGATGGGATGATTTAATTTATATATACAAAATATGGATAAATATATATTTTATTGATTAATATGAATTTTTGTTAATAAAAAACTACCAAATAAATTAGAAAATAAAACATAAACCAGAAACCCTACCTCTTCTCTGTCTTCTTCATTTTCATTGAACAAGAAGACATTTGTGTTGCATTCTACATCCACTTTGAGAGGTTAGCAATTACAAATTATTTTATTTTACTTTCGTAACTTTGAATTTGTACATATTAAATACATGTGCATATTTATTTGAAATTAATTTGAAAGTATTATGCATTCATTTGTTTGGTTTTTTTTAATCCTTAATAAAACGTCATTATCACCATTGAGTAATTTCTTTCATTACTACCATTAAGGTCTCTTTAATGACAAGGCCAATATGCCATTTTCATTTTGTCATTTAGTAGGTGAATAATAATGACCACACTTAATATGATGTGTTGAAGAAACTTGAGAAATTCGCTGTCGTCTGCTTTCCGACATTTTCGACAGTTAAACTGTCAAGTTCGACATTTACAAATCGTCGGTTTAGACGTTTGAGATGTTGAACCTGACATTTACAAACTACCGAGTTCTACAATTTTACTTTCAATTTGGATACTTCAAAATGATAGAAACCCTTGATTTGATATTTTGTTATTGTACTGATTTACGTATTATGAAGTGCGACTTTCATGCTATTAAATGCCAACATACTGATTCTGAATTGTTACCATTGCAATCCCAACATTTCAAGTATGAATAATCATTTGAGATTTATCGTTTTGCATGGGGGAAATTTTGTTCATGTGGATGACGAATGGAAGTAGAGAGGGGACAAAACTACTTCCATTTTGGTGCCAACAAGTATTACCGTAGTCGAGTTTATGTTAAGGTTGAAGGAGAAACTTTGTATTCTTGATTCCCGCGCTCAAATTGAATTGAAGTTCAAAGTCCCTAACTTGAATATACCTCCGGCTGAAATATGCGACAATGAAGACTTAAATTGGTACGTATCAGTGCATAAGGAAACTGCTATCTGTGTTACTGTTTTGGAATCCGATCTGCCAAGCGTTGACAAGGGAAGGGATGCAAATTTTCAAGATCCTTCGTTTGTCGCGGTAGATGTTCTGCAAAACGAGGAACATGATTTGGTGAATCGAATGCATAGTGTCTCAAACAATAATGCACTTGAAACACATGAGTATGATAACGAGACTGCACCATTAGATGAGAACTTAGATAACCCATCACCTAGTTTAGAGGTTGCTAATTCTGTTGACGTCGACGACGAGCACTCTTTGTCACATTCCAACGATTCGGATGGATATGAATTTATGAGAACTGTGACTACATCCGATCTTGCCGAAAAGAAAATATTCTTAGCAAGAAAGATTTGTACTCGACAATTCGTGCACTTGCTTTGAAAAATAAGTTCCAATTTCTGGTGGGCCGGTCAAGCATGAAGATGTTAACCGTTGTATGCGCCGACAGCAGTTGCAAGTGGATGTTACGTGCTTCTACTGTGAAGCAGTTTGCAATCTTTGTGATCCATAAATTCAATAATGTGCACACATATTCCATCGATTTTCGCAGTAATGCGCATCGACATATGACGAGTTCTGTAATTGCAGAACACATTTTGGGAAAATTGGATAATCCGAACCGATCGTATGATCCGAGCACTATTGCACGTGACATGGAACATGAGCTCGGTATCCAAATAAGTTACAACAAGGCACGTAGGGGGAAGGTGGCCTCTTTACACATGCTACATTGGACACTGGAGGACAATTTTCAGAAACTATTTTCATACTGTCACGTACTAGGTGAGAATAACCCAGAGACGGTAACCCACATCGAAATTGATTCACACAATAGATTCCATTACTTCTTCCTAGCTTTTGGTGCAAGCATTCATGGTTACATGCAGTACTTAAGGCCCGTTGTTTGCGCTGACAGTAGTCACTTAAAAGGTCCATACAAGGGTACACTTTTACTTACAACTGCCCAAGATGCCAACAAACAGATTTATCCCTTAGCGTGGGGGATTGTGGATTCCGAAACTAACCGATCTTGGATGTGGTTTATGTCTAACTTGAAAGATCTTATAGGCGACTCAGATGAACTTGTATTTGTTTCAGATAGGAAAAGAAGTATCGAAAGACCTATTACTCGCTTATTTTCTTTGTCTCGTCATGGTTGTTATATGTGGCATGTGGAGAAGAACCTAATTTAGCGGCACTTTAACGTAAGTTCAATATTTCTGTTCAAACGAGCTGCTTCAACTTATCGGGTCGACGAGTTCGAACGACTAATGGAACAGATTCGTAGGGTCAGTGAAAGATGTTACAGGTATTTGGAGAAAGCCAATTTTTCATTCTGGTCACGAGCACTATTCGTGGGTGACCGATACAACATCATGACAAACAACAACGTAGAATCATTGAACTCAATGCTGAGACATGCTTGTTTGTTGCCAATCACGTGTTTGGTCGAGCACATTCGTAAACCAATGCAGAAGTGGTTTTACGAATGTCGAACCAATGCAACCACATACAGTACTATATTGTCGTCGAGGATGGAGAACGAGTTACAAACAACATTTGAAGCTGGTACTTGGCTTTGAGCCCATGAGTTGACAAATAGCTTGACCCAGGTTGGAATATCCAACGATACGGAGATAGTGGACTTCTCCGACAACACGTGCACATGTTGTGAGTTTCAACTAAATCGTATGCCATGTGCTCATGCAACTCGTGGTGCTACCCTAAGCGATAAGTCATTATACAATCTATGCTCTCCGTACTATATATCAAAATATTGGAGGGGTGCCTATATGGAAGTCATAAATCCCGTTACACGGGAAGTGGATTGGGTTGTTCCAAATGAAATCCTAAGTACTCATATTTTGCCACCGATTGTATGTCGTCCTCCAAGTAGACCACCGACGCGACGTAAGCGAGCTAGATATGAGTCCACTACCCAACTGAGGAAATGCACTCGATGTGGGAGACTTGGTCATAACCGGACCACATGTTCGAACCCTATTGTATCACAAGACACTTGAACAAGCGTGATGTGTAAAAGTGGTTGTGAAATGTAACCCCGAAAACGTAATTTAAATCACCATTGTACATTTCTAACTTATTTTATGAATCTGTTGTTATTATCGTATGCCAAAACAAATTTGGTCGTTATGTTTCGCAAGCAAAGTATCGATCATTACAGTTCCATTATCCCAAAACGAGATGAATACCTTTTTCTTACTATAAACTTAGCCGATCATAGAAGTTCCATTAGCTTCGACTGACAGTTTGTCGAAATGAAAAATTGATTTTCATGAGACCATAGTGAACAAACAAAACGTCAACATTACGTCCCGACAATTCATATGTCGTTCCCGACAGATAGTCTCTATAATTCTCGACAGTTGGAAACAACAGCGGCTTGAAAACCTACACTACTGCGGTTGCCTATTATGGAGATACAGTTTCTACACGTATCTAGATAACATGACCAAAATCATCCATACCACAAAATAGTAAACATAATTTCTTACAAAAGGGCCATTTATTGCACACTTGCACTGCTTTTGACAATTTAAGAATCTCTCCCACTTTCCCCATCAGACTCGTCTAAGCTAATGACAAATACTTCTGGAGGTGGAACATGAGCCACCCACTCATTCGAGTCGGACGGTGACTCGACCGAACCCCTGACCTCGAAGACTTGATCGAGAACGCTGTTCGGTGACTTAGATTCTGCACTTGACACTTCATCGAACTCGGCACCATGCTGCTCAACTCTTACATCCTCATCGTCTGACAATAAAACGATGGAAAATTTAGCTAATGAACCCAGTATCGGTGGATGCATATTGGAGTTGAATGTTTCATTGCTGGAGGTGGATGAACCCATTATCTCGCATCAACTACCTGTTTCAAAATGGAAGTCTCACAACAGCTTTCATGACATATGAAATGTAATTTGATAGACAATGCTTGTGATGCATTCAACATGTAAGTATAATTGTATTGGAAATACTTGTTACTTGCAAAAAATGAGCAACGTATAATATCTACAACAACATGTTACACTAAGACACTTGTATTGGACAATCCCACCATTTTCAATTTTCGAAAAACAAGGAACTTATAAAATTGAATGGCCCACCTAGTTGAACTGTCGGGCTCGACAGATATTTTATTCATTCTCGACAGTTGACGAAAACGTGCATTGCACTAAAGATCCTATAACTTCGAATTTTGTAAACTGCAAAATAAATGAAGAAGAATAAATAGAAGTAGCACTTTTTTACCACAATGGTGTTCAACTACATTGAAAGTGTCACAATGCTCTTTAGGTAAGTTCAAAGTGGCACAATACCTTTGCTACAAAATTGCTTGTAAGCAACAATGATCTCCTGGTATTTATAATCATCCTGAAAGGAGGAAGTAATTACTTCATTATCTACCCAACCACCAAGTCCAATCTCTAAGTAAATTTGAAAAGCAATTGGTGTGATGGTTGAATATAATAAGTGTACCTTTACCCCCCCCCCCCATTGTACCATAATTACTATGACATTGGCAGAGACTAGAATACTTCAATGATGTGTAAAATTCATGTTATCTGGTTTCTTGCAACAAATTACTTCTCATTTGCTAGCTTGTTAGTCGCACCATGGTTGTAATGCCACAGTTTCTCACAAAAAAGACTCATCATGTTAACCCACATAAGAACATACGAAGGACAATGGAATATACATAAACTCATTTGTCAATTAGTTGTACCATGGAAGTCATGACTTTGACACTTTTAATGGGTCCTCATCTTAATCCAATCTATAGTTTACTAGGGCACTACGACATTCAATCCCGCTATCTCCTCGTAAATGGATATTCGTAAAACGTACACATACATAATTTTTTGTGCTATACAATGTACGAGTGTTGACAAAAATTGAATCAAGGCACGAAGTACCGTAAGTACGATTCACATAACATACTAAAGCCGGATAACTTATACAAGTTGTAACACTACAACAATTTCAGCAAAGGTAAACGGTAACACAGCATTCACCACGGGAATTGCAAAATGTGAGGAATGCGTCTAAGTGTCACCATGCTTGCCAACTAGCCTGACTGATATGTAAATTACAAAAATAAATGAAAAGGGCACCAATATCTAGCCAATTAACAAACATCCTTCACCACCTAAATTATGTCAAAAAAATGCAAAAGCATGCTGAACCCCATCGTCATGCTATGTTCGGCAGTTTATCCATAGTTATTTCTGTTTTTGCTTTGCGCTCCCCCTCGTGTAAGGAGTCCTGGTAGTAGGTGCCGGACGTCACAGCCATGCCGATCGTCGTCTTTTTATCGTAACTTCCCATCCTGATTGGGCTACATAACGGGAACTGGGAAAGTTGCAACGTAAGCAAATGAAACGAAAAATAAATTAAATTGTCAAAAAATGATGCAATACCTTGCATTTCATCCATTGTAGCGAGCACTAGCACAGGGTCATTGTCGGGGCATGGCTCAATGTGTACTGTGTTTGTCGAAAACAACAATGAAATATTTTCAGTGTATGACTACCTCTAGGAATTTTCAAATTATGCCAAGTACATGAAACAACAATCTACAAGTTTTCCTCATAAATGACCCGCATACCTTGCAGATATTTGGTTCCAGTAGGCAGCATGTCTTGCTCTTCGTCACGGTCACCAGGCGATAGGTGATGGCCCCCTTCGACTACAACAAATGAACAATTGTAAAGTAATCGAATGCCTGAAATAATATTTGTTCAAATCGTGAAAAACAATGCAATACCTTGCACTTCTTCGATTGTAGAGGGCTCTGGCACGGGGTGGTCCTCCGGGCACGACTGAATGTGTGCTATGTCTGTTCAGAACAACAACGAAACAGCGAATGAAAAGTAAATTTTAACAATTTTCAAAACTTCCGAAATACCTGAAATGATAATTAATCAATTTGCTCAAAAGTAACCGACGTACCTTGCAGACTTTCGGTTCCAGTGGGCAGTGGCATGTCCTGCTCGTCCAGGCATGGCTCCATGTGTTCTTCATTAATGTACATACCGTCTCCCTCTTACCTGTCAATCCCCATGTCTTCGTCAATACCGTCAGGCAACGGGTGGTGGCCTGCAAAGCCTCTATAGTCTAAAATGAATGAACAATTGTCATACAAAACATGTTAGTGACCAGGGTTAAAGTGAACATTGTCATAAAGAATTGTAGTACGCATATGGTGAGTACCTGATTGTCTGGGCTCGGGGTCCACATTAGTCGCACATGCAGTGGTGGTTGTAGAGCCGGATGTTGGGACGATGGTGGATATGAAGTCCTTCAATTTTTTAAATTCATCGGATACGTGCTGCATGATTTCGAGCTTCACAGTGCGGAGCCACATTTCGAACAGAATTCTTTAATCCAGCAACATGCCCTGAACATCGTCTGTTGTGAGGCTTGATCCAGCCATTGCAGTTGGTCGGACATGAGAGGTGGATGTTGCCTGCACGAGAAAAGTAGCTCTATGCACTGGGGGTGGAAAATGTCCCATTCTATCCACTTCGTCGAACTCGATCACTGTCACTATCCCCACTGTCGTGCTCCTCGGAGTCCTCGCCTTCGGCCTCTCCGCTCTCATCGGCTCCTGACTCCTCCTCCTCGCCACTGGTCTCCCTACCGTCATGGGCCTTATCAGAAGTCTCATCCTCGAAGGTGCCTTCTTTGGGTGTGCCTATACGCTCTGCTTGGAACTGCGGAGCAACACTGTCCCTGGCAAGGTCATCCAACGCAGGGACAGGATGATCATTGAACAGCACAAGAGTTGCAATATGAGGTTGTCCACACTCGACTTCGGTGGGACACAGCGTCGCGTACACATGTAGCTACAACATAAACATATTCGTTACGAAATCACTACATGCTACAATGACGAATGGAAGGAATGAGAACGTAGAAGTAACATAAATTTTTACCTGTACATTCTTGAAGAAAGCGTCGTACGTACGCTACTGCGGCTGTTTTGTTGATGTCCAGCCGAGAAGTTGGGGGAACGTTCACCAAGATGCTGACCGAAGCGATCATCAATTTTAGGCACCACCTTGAACGCCCATATCTGTTACAGTAAAAAAGAAATGTGAGTTCATGACGAAACTAACCACGAAATACATTTGCATTGAAATAATGAGTAGGTAAAATAAAAATACCTGTATGGCAATGGAAAAGTCGTGGACTGTGTAGCTAACCACCTTCTCCGTCTTTTTAGTCGTATCCAAAAATCTTCTTGCCCAACGGTCCCGAAAGCCCTTTATCAGACGTCCATACGAGATTCTACCCCAAGGATACGAAAAGAACAAGTCTAGATCATCAACGATCGACAACGTCTCCATATCGATACCAACGTTGTTATCTGGAGCATTGAAGACTCCTTCGATGATCAAAGCGAGGCCGAGCTTGTACCGATCGGCTCTAAGCGTTGACGATCGAAGAAATGTCTACTCGAGTTGGGCACATGAAATCTTGTCCACATGTTTAAAGTATTTGTCCTTTAGTCTCCTCTTGTCAAGAACTTGGTTCATGACATTATCATCCGAGAGAAGACCACAACTTAATCCAGTGACAAGGGCATACTCTTGAATTCTGAACCTGGCATTCTGAACCTGGCAAGGTGACCTTGCAAATTGAACCACAGTTCATGCCGCTTATTTGTTTGTATGCAGCAGAATACGAGTTGTTGGATTAATTGGGTAGAGAACTGGAGATCCGCAACTTCGGACAAGAACCCAAGGCATGAGTTGCGTAAGTCTGCCCGCTATCGCTTGTCAAAATGTTCGACGACTATTTTTATATACTGCAGATTGCTTCTCTACGATACGTGGCCCCACAAGCGTGCATTCTCTGGAACAAGAGGCTCGAAATCCATGTCTACAAAGACAAAATAAGAAATAAATACGTCATACCAAAATATAAACTTCCTACCAGCATAGGACCAAAAACCACAAATATGTTGTGAAGTGTCTTTCAACAGTTCCTCCCGAATGCAACGAGTGCCACCCACAAGCTCAATGTGTGCAAGTAAAAGCAAGGTTATGACACAAGTAACATAAATATTGAAACGGAAGATATGCCCACATCAAACATGATTTCCACCAAATGCATATGAGTACCCACCATATTACTTCAATAAAATAGCCCTAATTCAGCCCACTGAACTTCAGAAATTGTTGCATACAAAAAATAAAAGGAATACTGATATCTGAACGCATATTACATAGAAATAACATTTTCTACTAGTAGGGCAGGGCTAGGCAGGTAGGAACTGAACTGTCGGTCCCGACATTTTATCTATCGACGGTTCATCTGTCGAGAATTACTGAGGATAACTGTTAGGAACGACAGTTGAGCAACAACTATCGATAGATGAACTGTCGGAAAATCTAGTTTTTCTCTTCTTCCAGGTATTATTCAAAAGCTTTTC